CTTTTTTCACACCACTGATTCGATCTTCCACCAGACAATAGCTGAATCATCCATTGTTTATAATTTGCATGCATTGATTGTATGTTATTACGCAGCACCGGCAGAACACGGCAGTATAATGAACAGGATTTTAGCTTTTTTCTTCATCAGTACTGTCCAATTTTACTGAATCCTCACGACCAAACATGCTGTAATGGTTTATACTTGATCTTGGAACAATAATTTAAGTCCACCTGTGCTTAGGAGCAACAAGAAGAAGAAGAAGAAGTTGTTGGCACCAAAAGCAGATGTGCCTGTTCAAGGGAAGCTATTAACATTTCTCAGCCATCTCATGTGTAAGAGACATTTGTGCCAAATTCTCGTGATTACAGTTCAAGTGTGATCAACAAGCCAGTTCCCAGTACTGCAGTAGCTAGCGCACCTGTTCACATGTCTGCTACCTTTTCAAATGGTCCTAACTCGGACATGCCAAAACTGGAAAAAACCAAAGGACAGCCAAACAATCCCATTGATGTGAGGTTGACCGATGTGTTATCAAAAAAGAAACTTAAGAGGAAACAAGAAACAACGCTTGTCGAAGGGACCTGCCCTGATAAATCTGCTTCCACATAGGTGGATGAACGCCATAAACACCATAAACAGGTAGCTGCCTCTATTCCTGCTAAATCAGGCTTTCAGCCAGCTGCCCCTCCGAGTTTGCAGCCGAGCTGATATGATGGCTTGATTTGGATGTTCCTTTCTGAATTTACTTTATGTTACCGATCTCTCTGTGTCGACCTCCGTTTTAGGAGCTTCATTCATTGTGATGAAATAGCTTGTCTAATGGTTTTGCAAATATTGTCAATTGGTCATATGATTCATAATGGATGAGTTTTTATTTTAGGGTAGTTAGCGATGGAGCTTTTAATGTACTACATTGAATGTTCTTAGTTCTAGTTGAGTTATCATTGTTGATTAGCAGTTTAATTGAGTTAAATACACCCGAAATTTTATGTTGGCCACTGAACTTCATTTTTTGTTTAAGTCGGTGGCTATACATTTTATTAAAGTTTGCTCATGTCTATTATTTTGTTTCAAGGAAAAATATGACTTGGTAATCCAATAACTTGCCAATAAAGCTACTGGGTTGGCTTTTCTGCGTGTCGAATGAACAGATCTAAAAGGAGGGCTCAAATTGTAATGAACTTTTGAGTTCAGTTATCAGCTGGGAAAGATCAAAGAGAAGAATCAGAATGGTGAGTTTGGCGAAAGGTTAGGAAGTGAACATTCGTCCATGGTGTACTGCTATTTAGGGAAAGTCTTATAAGGACGTGCTTCAGGAGTAATTCATTACTTTCAAGGTGCACATTTTTCTTAGCAAGAATTATTGAAGTAGGATAATGGTCAAGAGGATTTGAAAGGCCATTTTTGATGGATGGAAATTTTTTATCCCTTCTTTCCAATTGCCTTAGACAAGCCACATTTCAGAAAGGTTCTACGTTGGTCAACAATTAGTTCCAATGCCGTTATAATTCTACCTATAGAGAGGATTATGAAAGAGGTAATCAGAATTGTACTCGAAATCATTTATGATCCCGAGTTTCCAAACACATCGAACTTCCGCTAGTGATATCCTCCCTCATGCTCCATGTTTTATTCTATGCCTTGAAGGAGGGAAAGAAGGAAGCAAGAACGCGAAGAGAATGAAAATTAGGATATCTATTTGAAATTTAGTAACATAACATATTATTTTGGCTAAAAGATTTGCGAACAATTTAGCGATAGGTTGCGAATAATGTTGGGTTTGGATGAAGAAATTGTCTTCGTGTAATGATGAGAAAGAAATGATAAAGAAGGAAGATGGGTTTGGACTTTATACCATAAGAATAGATTTGGACCTATGTACTTGTTAAGGTAAGCCCATGTAGTGAAGTCCATAATATAGCCCAAGGTTTTAAATAATTAAATTTAATATCAAATAAAGCCAATATCAATATCCTTGTAGTAAAGAATTTTGGCTCAAGAGGCATGCCCTTTCTTCCATAGAGTTGTCACATTTTATTCTTGTTTCTCACCTTTTCTTTAATATTCTTATAATTTCTTTTGAACAATTACAACATTTCGTAGCTTTCTTTTTCAGTAATATAGTATAATTTTGAGATCGTCTTATCACTTCCATTCTTCATGTTATCTCTTCCATAGTTATGCGTTTCTTATTTTTTTTATTCAAATTAAATTAGAAATGTTCAATTCGTTAGTTCTTTTGAGACGACGGTACAAGTCCTTTGGAACAAAAAATGTTCTATCTCGAGAGGCAATTGTTCAAAGTAAATGTGCAATTTGATTGCAGATTAGGTTTAGTGGTTAATGATTAAAAAACTAAAAGAGATTTGGATGTGGAAAATCATTTTTCTACATTTGGTGATTGGGACCACTGGTCCGGCGGCGCCGCCCCTACTACCACATGTACGTTATAATCATTGTGTAAGTATCAAAACTTTGAATTTAGACTAGGTCTACCATTCACGTCAAAATGTAAAATCCCACCGATAATATGGATAAACAACAATCCCACTTTCTAAATTTTATTGCATATGTTGGACCAATGGTTCATTATAACCTTAGAGATTTAATGATAACAAAAAAGTTAATCATATTTACTAACAAGTTGAATTCAAGTAATTACAATTTTTCTAAGCATCCGATGAAAAATTGATCTATGATCGTCAAAAGATCAAAAGTAATCATCACAATTCGGACTCATGAACGAGGCTAAGATTGAAGTCACACATTCCAGAACTTAATAGTCAAACTTCGAAGCAAAATAAAAAATTTGATTTCTTAGATAAAGTGTAAAGGTGCTAAAACTTTGATATTTGGTAATGAATGCTTAAACTCAAAAAAATTTTATGCATTGAAAACAATTTTGTTCATTCAAAATTATTATAACGCAATGTTTTAATCAAATATAAAAATGACTATTAAAATAATATTTGAACTTGAAAAATATCTTTTATCTTGAAAAGTTAGTTAAAAATACTTTCCAAAAGTTTATGCTTTTCAAAACCTTCGAATCGGATCAATCGGGGCCAAAATGTAAAATAATTGAAACTATTGGGCAATTTGACCGGCTGGAAGAGATGATTGATCGGAAGTCTCCAACGATTCAAAATTTGATCGATCTTATCCTTGATTTTTACTAAACAACTGACTACATTGGTCATCCGGACAAAAGACGGTCAACCGGACGAGTGATCCGAACCTACAGATTTTTTGACATTTTGAACTCTATAAATACCTTTAATTTTTGAATTCATTATAGCATGTTTTAAGAGCATTAAAATAAAAAATATTTGAGCAAAACTCTTTGAGCTTACACCTTATTTAATTCTTCAAACATTTACTTTGAAGACTATTGATTGATCGAATCAACCTTTAAAAATCATATTTTTCATCAAAGTTATCTCATCTAATATTTGAATCCATTCATTGCTATTCATTTAAGTGTTAGCCCATTTCTCTCTTTATACTTAATTTGTGTATATTATTTATTAAGAAAAAAGTTTCAAATTGTAAAATCATTCATTTTTAAATTTATGGGTTATATTGAGGTTCTTTAAAGAAAAGTTTTTAATTGTAAAATCATTCGTTTTTAAATTTATGGGTTATATTGAGGTTCCTTAAAACTCAGTAGCACGTGTTATATTGATATTCCGTAAAACTCAATATTATATAAGAATTGGTGCTCCTTATTCGTAAGTCGCTGAAAGCATTGTAAAAAGTTGGATTGTACCATAAATTAATCATTATAGTGAAAATGCCTTCCTCGTGGGGTCAGATAGCTTTGTAACAAATGATGTAAATCATTGATTTGGATCGAACATGTACAATTATATCGTTTGCACTCTCTTTACCCTTTTACCTATAATTATTTCATTTATATTTATATTTGATTGATCTATTTGCTTTTATTTACTAATAATCATTAATTGATCAACGTGTTCTTAACTTAGTTGATTTAAGTCTATTTTTTGAAAAAAAAAATTAAAAATCAACTCACCATCTCTTGATTAATTATTTTTGGACTATCAGCATAATCCAAGAAAGTCAAATAAATGTATATTATTGGGTGGTGGAGTCTTGAAAACACTTCTCCCTTTCATATTTTGAACATTAGCTCTATGGAACAATATATCACCATTCTTCTATATGTGCAATCAAAATTAGACGGATCTTTGCCAGTATTTTCCTTTTTTTATGATATAATATTTTCCACAGTTGGAAACATCTCCATTAGTTTTGATTATTATTTACCATATTTTACGGCATTTATAAGATATTTCGTAAGAATTCATGACATATATAAAATTTGAGAGTTTTTAGAATTTTTGAACTTTGTAACATAGATTGAACTCGTATTAATATCATATTTCATTTTTAGAGACATATTGCTTAAGAGTTTGAAAAATTCAAAGATTTTACAACTCAAAATCCATAGTTGGAATTTGTGAAGATAATCCGTTTTAAAGCATGTTGTGGAAGAAAGAAATATCACGATTAAGATCAAATACGCCAAATTTATAGTTAGCCTTCATTAAAATACATGACTTTAGTCACAACTCATCAACTTTCATATAGACAAAGATTAGTAAAAAATTAAATTTGAACTTGTCTTCCAAATTTGAAATTCAACCAAGAATCATGTCATTGAGAATTTTTAAGTTCTTCCTCCATTAAACCCTAAATCATGGCCACCATTATAACTTAAGAATGTATTTTGCCCTTGTTTGACACCCATTTTTCTCATTATCATTTTTTTCTCTTTTTTCATTTCAATCACACATTCTATCAATAAAATAATACTACATATAAACCCAAAAATTCTCATTACTTTTTAACCACACATTTTTCTATCAATCACTATTCTAAAATTTATTTTTGCTCCAAAATGAGTGTCAAACTGGGGCTTTATGTCCTAAAAAAGATTCTTTTATAGAAAAAGATTTATTCCTTTATTGATGATGGTGATAGACACCCTCTTTGATTCCACAAATCTTTTGAGATTGTACTTTTCTCCTCCATCCATCCTTGTGATGGTCGTGGGTGGTGGAGGCAATAGGTGCCAAAGGCAGACTTTCTTGGTTCAAGAAAGTGGTTCATACCTAGCATCCTTCCAAAAAGTAATACCCCTTGTACTATGATTCGAGTACAAGTAGAAGTGTTAAAATGAGCAAGTCAATTCAAGCCAGGCCAATCTAATCCGTGAGATAGGTTAGTGCGACTTGCTCCGCTCAACCCAACCAAGGCTATACCTTTTTTTTTCCATTTTTTATTATAAAGGGATTTTCCACTAAAATCTTAGGGTATGTTTGAGCCACATTATTTTGAAAGAATGTATTTTGAAATAATAGATTGATGGAATAATCATGCTACATGTACACCACATGTGTTACAGCATGGGGTTACAACATCTCACAAGGGAGGTGGGCCCCGCGATTGAAATAATAGTGAGCCGTTCCTCCCTTGTGAGAGGTTGTAACTCAATATTGTACAAAGAGCATTATTTTTGATTGAAAACGTGTGCTTGAAAAAGAAAGAAAAGTTATTGATGTGATAGAAAATATTATTTTATTGAAAAATGTGTTGTGGAAAAGGAGTAGAAGAATGAGAATGAGAATTTTAACGTGAGTCAGAGAATTTTAATATGGGTCAAATATGGGCTAATGAAAAATGGATTAAGAAAGAGATCCTACCAGCTTGGTCCAAGTCTTTCCATTTTCTATCGGGCTAGGTCAGTCCGAGTCTGCCCATTTTGACTATAACCCTGGCCTGTTTCAAGTCTTACTGAGGTGAACAAGAAGTGACAAGCTGCTAGGGTTTCCCTTGGCACCATTTTATCTCGCGTTGCAGTGATTTCGACAAGGATAGGCGAACTTCTCACCACCAAACTTGGAAGGTAGTATCAGATTTTATTTTTTGTGTAAATTCGGGCTTTATATCTTGATTTCGCACTCGATTTGATTGTTGTAAATGATTTTATTTCAACACAATCTTGGCCATAAAATTCTGTCCAGTCTTATCGCTATTTTCATCTCCTAGGTCCTTTGAATTTATTTTTTTCCAAAATTGTTCTCTCTCTCTCTCTCTCTCGATGGTAATCTTACTTACTGAACAGCTGTCTCTTGAATTTTTGATGGTGCTATTTATGGTTTTCTCCTTGACTTGAGAACCGGCCGCCCCTCAAATGTAGTCGGTAAAATAACCAGGACCAAAATCCCCCCCCCCCCTCCCCAAGACCCCAGATGGTTCCGCCCCTGATTGTGTTTGAGGGATGGATAGATGAAAGACAGAATAAAGCAAAATAGTGGCGGTGTTACAAGTTTTAGCGTCAACATTCATATAAGTGGACACTTATAAAAGAAAATTTAATTATGCCTGCTTATAAATTCGAAGCGGTGCTGTAAAAAAAGAATAGAAATTCGAAGCGGCACGGAACTGTTGTGACACTAGGCAAATGTTGACTGAGGTTGGTCTGGGCTCTGCCAATGTAATGTACAAGTATTGTGAAGGGGGGGGGGGTATAGGTCATATATGCAGTGTTGCCTGGCTCTTCGAAATTTATGATGTGTCATGTCAGTTTGGAATTTACGTAGGTTGCTGGTTCGCTAAAGGTAATAAGGAATAGGATAATGATTTCTATCCTTTTTTGTCCTACTAACTCAAAGGCAAAGTTACAAGTTGGCTACAAATAGAAGGGTTGGAGGCCAATGATAGGGTGAACGTGAAGGTTTTTTCCTTTTTCATTAAGAGAGAGAAAGAGCTACATTAATAGAGAACATGGAGGCTCTAGTTACAAGTGGGGAAGTTGTTTATTTCAGATCACTTGTGTCTTGTGTTTCTTCTCAATTCCCATGGCAACCATTCATAAAATTTGCATTTCTCCATTGTTTTATATAATTCTTATTTACAGAATTCCACAGGACTAGGTTCTAAATTGATGCTTCGACTTGAGAGGAATCCAAGGGCTGATAATTGTCTTTATTGTTCCTGCTTCTGCTTCTATCTCTATTTGCATCCATATTGTGTCGTCCAAGAGAGATGACAAATTCTCAAAATGTTGAGCTGGAGGCAGCCAAGTTTCTACATAAACTTATGCAAGAGTCTAAAGAAGAGCCTACCAAATTAGCTACAAAGCTTTATGCGGTTCATAAGATTTTCTTTTATGATATTAATAGTTACTTTTCTGTGTAGTTTTTGCCCCACAATGCTAATATGCTGTGTTTACATTTATTCCACGGGAAATAAGCAGATTTTGCAGCATATGAGATCTAGTGGGAAAGAAGATTCAATGCCATATCAAGTTATATCAAGGTAAAGCCTCTTTTTATGGGTGCAATAAATTTTGCTTACTGCATTAAATTTTTAAGAGGCACCGATCAAGATTATGACCACACTATTTCTTCTCTAAATTTTATTGTGTTCTTAACAATTATGATTTATTAGAAAGAATAAGGTTCACCCATACACACAGTCTTTGAAAACTATTGTAATTGATCTAAAAAATAGCTGATCAGCTTATTGTTTGAGTTGTTTAGTATCTTGTTTATTTCAATTGCTTTTTTTCACAATGTTTTATACAATCTATCTTTATTCTCTGTTTATAATTTAATATTTTTATGTTTCTATCATTTAAGGCAATATCCACCTCAATTCACAGATAAAGGCCTAGTCATACAATTAAACTATAGAATGCAGAGACTAGATTATTCGAAACATATGTACGATAATCATATCTTTATTTCAAAACATCGATTCTCTTCTTCAACAAATTTTGTGTCTTAGAAATATTCACTTTGTCAAGAATACTCGCATTTATAGGATGCTTTGGAATGATAGAGAAGTAAGTTTTGACAGTTACCAAGATCCTTCCTAAATAACCCTCACCAAATTCTTGTTTTAGCTCAGCTGGATTTGAAATATAAAAGTTAATGATAGTGAGGCACCATTATCATGTCAAAATATTGAATAACCATGATCTTACGGCTTTCAGTTTACATGTCATTTTCTGCTTTAGTTCTTGACATGAAAAGAACAAATTGATTGCATGACTATAAAGTTCAGAAGAGATACAAAACCATCTTATTCAAAATATATGTTAGGTAAACTAACATAACCACTTGATAACATGAATAGAGTATGTCGTTGATCATATTATAATTTCTGAATTTTATCAATCAAATATGTATCTTACGTGGAAATTGGTCATAATTAGTGATGAAAAAAAACTCGCTTAACCCGATACTCGTGGGGTCCGGCCCCGAATGGGGCTGGGATTACCCGCCTAATCGGGTAAACGAGGTGGGAGCGAGACGAGGGTCATTGTCCCGAAGCGGGTATGAGACGTGTACAGGAAACATGGTCCCCGCCTCGTTGCCATCCCTAGTTATAACAAACAAACTTGCGAAAGATCTAAAAGCAATAATTAATTTACATGAACATAAGGGCTTGTTAGGCACCCATTCTTTTGAAGAATGAGTTTTTGAATAGTGATTGATGTAACGAATGTGTGGTTAAAAAGTGAGAAGAATTTTTGGGTTTATATGTAATATTATTATATTTGGAGAATGTGTGGTTAGAAATGAGTACTGTAGAAAAATGAGAATGAAATAAAAAAATGGGTATCAAATGGGGGCTAAATGAAACTTTACAACATGTGGTTTTAATTAGGAGTGGGGTTGGGTTATGTCGGTTTTTGCCTCAACCCAAATCCAACCCAATATGATCGGTTTGATTAAAATTTAACACAATCCAACCCAATTCAATCAAGTATCGGTTGGGAAGGGTCGAGTTGGGTTGGTCGGTTTGTAACAACTTGTCAACTAAAATTAAAGTCATCCAATTGTCTATCATACTAAATTCGAATAGACAAAATTAAATAATAAGTAAATAAATAAATAAATAAAATTATTTATTATTTTATTCAATTCTCATTAGCCGATCCTACAAAAAACACAGTGCATTTAACATAACATAGAAAAGTTATACTACATTTCTTGTGGGATGGAGAGTAAACTCCTCTTCTAAAATGCACCAAGCTAATTAGAGTTACACTCTCCACTCATACTTTTTAGGTTCATTTTACTTTTTAGGCATTTTATTTTATTTCTTTTTCTTTTTTTAAGTAGATGGGTTGGCTTGGGTTGGGTTGGGTGGGTTTATTCNAACCCGTGTAAAAACAACAAAAAAAACCCAAACTGATCGGGTTGGGCAGTTTTGGCGGGTTCGGTGGGCAAAGCTGACCCCTAGTTTTAATACATATCAATGCCAAGTACCAACAAACAAATAAAAACTGAATTTTGATCCCTAAAATGTAAAAAATACTACTGTGAATAATAAATGTTTTACCTCTTTGTTAACAAAATCTACCAATCCAGTCAGTTCAGTAGTTTCGTCCTTTTGTTCCAATTGTAGTTGGATAGAAGATGGAGTACATGACACCATAAGAATGTACGGATATGTAAGCTCCAGAATATTCCTGTATCAAAATATAAATAAATTTATGTTACATAAATGTGATGTTTTGGATAGTCTAATTCTTTTGAAACATTGTGGACATAGTTCAACAAGGGGAAAAAAAGTATAAATATATATCGCACCTAAGGTTTACAGATATCTTTATTTTATACCTCAAGCTCAGTCCTGCAGTATCCTTACAACATTATATTCTGTTAGGACAAAACATATCAACATCATAAAAAAAATTTGTGTAAAATCGTTTAAACATATACATAGTATTATGTCATTTAATAATTACTATTATTCCAATTTTATTTAAGATAGTTAAAAATAAAAAATCAAAAACCAAAAGAATCGCAATCAAAGTATTAAAACAATTTTTCAGTAAAGCAACTTGTATTTTAGTAAAAAAAAGATAAGAAAAAGCAGAGACTCGATCCACCGCTCTTATTGATGCAAATTTCACTCACATTGAGCTCGTATCTCTTCAACTTTTTCCATATTAAGTGGTATCTTCATTTCTTGACTTTGTGAAAAAAGTTGATTTAGAGAAAAAAAAAAGTATTAAGCTGTGAGAATGAAGAGAAATGAATATGACACGTTCAAATAAATCAATTGAGGATTATAACAGTTAAACCAACAACCAAGTGCTGATGATAGCATGACAGTTGGTACAGGGAAAAATTGGAAGGAAATAAGTTTGGGTAAAATTTCAATGCTATTCAACCTGCTAGTAATAATCTAGGCATCCATTAATGATTGGATATCTTAAATGAAAATATATAATGTTATTTATAATGTCTAATCATTAATTGACACATAGACAAGTATAAAGCACAATTTTTTTTTTAATGGACAATGGATGTTACGTTAGTTGCTTGTGCTTATATGTGTCAATTAATGAACATTTCATATTCATTTCTCTTCATTCTCACGGCCTATACTTTCTCTCTCTAAATAAACTTTTTTCTCTGAGTTAAGAATTGAAGATGTCACTCAATATGGAAAAGTGGAAGAGATAATCAACTACTTGAGCTCAATGTGAGTGAAATTTGCATCAATAAGAGCGATAGATCGTGTCTCTACTTTTTCTTTTCTTTTTTTACTAAAACAAAAGTTATTGTACTGAAAAATTGCTTTAGTATTCTGATTGTGGTTTTTTTTATTTTTTTAACTATCTTAATTATATTTTTCATTTTCTATCACTTTCTTAAATAAATTGGAATAATGGTAATTATTAAATTATATAAACATAATATCTTTTTGTATGCATGAAAGTGTATTTTAAGTAATATTTTAAATACAATTATTTTTTTAAGGGGGAAGGGGTGTATTTAGTTTGATACACTAAACTAAGCAAATTTATGTGTTTTCTTTGATGTTGAGAACACTCTACGTGTCTATTACACCAATGATTTAGTTAACGAACAATCTTATATTAGTGTTCAAAAGAGAAAAAATATAAAATTGTACTTACGAGATGTACAACCACTGACATAAAAGGAAATAACAGCCTGAATGGCAACATACATGGCAGGAGTATTGAATGTTTCAAACATGATTTGAGTCATTTTTTCACGATTGACCTTGGGGCTAAGTAGAGCTTCTATCAAGAGAATTGGATGCTCCTTTAGAGCCACACGAAGTTCTTTATAAAAGGTGTGATGCCAAATCTTTTCGATATCATCCTAATTGCTGTCAGTTTCATGCTCAATTGGATACTTGAGAGTCAAAGTACCTCTCTTGGATTGAGTCTCATCACCAATAGGCATCTTTATGGACATGTCAATCATTACAGCAGTGTGACGAGGGCATTCCCACAATAGGGCTGTAAATGAATCGGATATGGATCGGATTTGCTTATATCCGATAAGAAAATTTATCCTATCCGATTCGATACGATACGATAATCCAACGAATATTTAATTGTTAAATCCATATCGGATTTGCAATGTTATCGGATATTCGATCCGATAATCCAATCCGAAATTAATAGAAATTAGGGGAAAAAAAAATTTGAACTAACTTGAGGCCGATCTATTTTTCCTAACAAGCCCAATAATGACTTCTACCATCATGATGTTCATTTTTAAATGAGAAACCCTCTTCTAATTTTCTATTGACATTCGATGTGGGATAAGGTAAAATTGAATTTCAATTCTAAATATAAATATTTTATTTTATTATTTTCATTAACAAATTAAATTATTTGTTACATATTAATTATTATTTTTTGAAATTGTAAAATTAATTACAATAATAAATTTAATTAATAAAAATATAGATATTTATTTACTTTAAATTAGTATACTAAAATTAGAAAAATATTGATTGAAATCAACTTTCTTTTAAAAAATTTTTTAATTCTTAAACAAGTTTAATAATTATAAATTTTTTTACTTTTTTTATATTTTGAATTTGATTATTTTTTATTCTAAATTTATTTATTTTCTCATTTATTTATTTTAGTTACAAATAATATGTCATAAAAATATTTTATCGACTTAATTATTTATAACAAATCGGATCAGATTGTTATCGGATTGAATTGACTTATATCAATATTTGATCCATTTAGTTAATGGATTATCAGATTCGGATATTGATCGGGTTATCGGATTGAGATCCTAAATCCATCTCCAATTAATTTCGTCGAATTCGGATCAAAATTCAATCCATTGACAGCCTTACCCCACAATACTCGGGAAAAACAGCATTTGGAGCATCATCTCCAGCGAACTCAGCCTGATAATTATAAGATAATGATAACGATCATGAATCAATGCATAACTCTCTCATCTTATCTTACGAATGATACATATTTAAAGTGCGGGAATAATAAAGAATTTGATGTCAGATTCAAGGTAACCATCTGACATCAAATTATTTATTACTCTCGCACTTCAAATATGTATCATTCCTAAGATGAAAAAGTTATGCATTGATTCATGATCGTTATTATTATCTTATAATTATCAGATTGGGTTCGCTGGAGATGATGCTCCAATGGCTGTTTTCCCGAGCATTGTGGGGTGCTCTCGTCACACTGCTGTAATGGTTGGCATGTCCATAAAGATGCCTATGTTGGTGATGAGGCTCAATCCAAGAGGGGTACTTTGACTCTCAAGTATCCAATTGAGCATGGAATTATCAGCAATTAGGATGATATGAAGAAGATTTGGTATCACACCTTCTATAAAGAATTTTGTGTGGCTCCAAAAGAGCATTCAATTCTCTTGATAGAAGCTCTACTTAACCCCAAGGCCAATCGTGAAAAATGACTCAAATCATGTTTGAGATCTTCAGTACTTCTGTCATGTATGCTACCATTCAGGCTGTTCTTTCTCTTTGTGCCAGTGGTTGTACAACTGCTAAGTTCAAATTTATATTTTCTCTCTTTTGAACACTAATATAAGATTGTTCGTTAACTAGATTATTGGTGTAATAGACACGAGGAGTGTTCTCAGTATCAAAGAAAATACATAAAATTGCTTAGTTTAGTATATCAAACTAAATACACCTCTTCCCCCTTAAGAAAATAATTGCATTTAAAATATTACTTAAAATACACTTTCATGCATGCAAAAAGATATTATGTAATTTAATAATTATCATTATTTCAATTTCATTTAAGAAAGAAATGAAGAATATAACTAAGATAGTTAAAAATCAAAAGAACCAAAATTAGACTACTAAAGCAATTTTTCAGTAAATGAACTTCTGTTTTAGTAAAAAGAAAAAGCAGAGACTGGATCCGCCGCTCTTATTGATACAAATTTTCACTCACATTGAGCTCAAGTTGTTTATTATCTCTTCTGCTTTTTCCATATTAAGTGATATCTTCATTCTTGACTATGAGAAAAAAAGTGATTTAGAGAGTAAGTCGTGTGAATGAAGAAAAAAGAATATGAAATGCTCAAATAAACTAACTTGGGATTATAACAGTAAAACAAACAATCAAGTGCTGGTGGCAGCATGGTGGTACATGAAAAAATTGGAGGGAAACAAGCCTAGGTAGAATCTCAATGCTATTCTACCTACTAGTAATAATCTTGGTGTCCATTAATGATTGAATATCTTAAATGAAGATATATAATGGTATTTATAATATTTAATCATTAATTGACAGACATATATAAAGTGCAAAAAAAAAAGGTAAAATGGATGTTACGTTAGTTGCATAAGCATGAGTCGTTGTAATAGGAACCATGCTGCATTTACAAAAATGGTTGGCAAAAGTAGGTTGCAAAATGCCACTACGTGAAAAATTTGGAGGGAAACAAGTCTGGGTGAAATTTCAATGCTATTCAACCTAGTAGTAATAATCTAGGTGTTCATTAATGATTGGATATCTTAAATGAAGATATATAATGATATTTATAATGTCTAATCATTAATTGACACATAGATTGGTATAAAACACAAAAAAATTTAGGTAAAATGGATGTTACGTTAGTTGCATATAAGCACAAGTCATTGTAATAGGAGTCATGCTACATTTACAAAAATTGTTGACAAAAATGGGTTACAAAACGTCACTTGGCGGCCAAGTGGCGTTTTGTAACCCACTTTGTCAACCATTTTTGTACAAATAGAGTTATCTGTAATTTCTTCAAATTTTCAGTATCTAAACTCTCATAAACGAAACACATGGTAAGGACAAGAGCTGAAATATTTATTTTTTCCGGCTAACTGAACAAGCTCAGTCTCCCGAGACCAACAAGCACCAATAGAAAGTTATTATCTTTACAGCAATATAAATAAGTCCATGAAAGGAAGGTAGGTATTTTAGCTAACCTATCTTCCTCCTTCGAGACCAACAAGCGCCAATAAGAAGCTATCAGCTTTACAGCAATATAAATATGTTATGGTTGAATTCCAATTTCGCACCAAAACTCAATCAAACACCAAATAAACCAGAATAATGGAACTAAATTCATTACTCAGCACTTAAATGTAAAATATATTTCATTCAACTGATATTTTCTATTACAATACAAGGAATTACAAGCGAAAGAACAATTACAAAGGAAAAAATATCGATGAGCAGAGAGAGGAGGAATAAGCAGGAAGAAGCAGGAGACGAACCTTACCAAAGAGAAGACCAGGGATGGAGAAGAAGAAGAACAGGAGATGGGAGGAGAAGACGGTGAAGAGGAAGAAACCAGAGACTAGGAAGAGAAGAGGAAGAAGAGGCAGCAGACCACGATTCACTTCATCACTCTCCATCGCCTTCAAAACAAAACCATATATACAACCCAAAGGCTTGGGCTAGCCCACTTAGATAAAACAAAAGTAAATGGCCCAACAAGCAAGTGATGGTATATTGAGTCCATGACATAATAAGTCAATGAAAGGCGGGTAGGACAACTGTGAATTTGATGATCTCTAATGGCTCTTGATGACAGTATTCAGAACAACTCCGCAGCGCGAGCAAAGGAGTGCATAGTATTCTTCGTAAAGCGGACAACAATAGTTCAAGAAGTAAAAATCCTTGGTATTGTGATTATAACATAGCATGGCACTAAGAAAGCCCAGAAAAATTTGATCCTCACTCAGATGAAAAGCATAAAATTTGAAGTTCCTACAGTCACGAGAAAATTTAAAAATATTACGCAGTGGTCGGTGAAAGTTGGTGCTGTGCTTGAGCACCCAACAACAACTGTCATCAAACGTCTAGATTAGTATCCTATAATTATCTTTGAGGAAGTAAAGCAAAGCCCCTTTGGATGTCCTAATAGATCCACATTGATTGAATTCATCCTTTTGAGGCAGCTCAAAAGCCTGAGCTTTCAATTTCACATTTGTTTTTGTATGTCCTTTCAATTCGAGATTGATACACACCAAGTACTTGGCCATTGATAACCTTTATAAAACCCCATTCAAGTAAACAGAACTTTGAACCCAGCAGCCAAGGTCAAGAACGGACTCAAAAGTGATAGTATGGCAAGCCCAACCGCCAGTCTCAGATGAATAAACATCCATATTTAATAATTGAGTGACTCTGGCAAACCTAATAATTTTATAGTGAAGGGCAACTGTAGAATCAAAAGCTAGCGAGGAGTACTTGAAATCACCATGTAAGGGGTTAACATGAATTCTGATACATTCAGAGGTGGTGGGGTTGCTCACGAAATACTGAGTCGGATTGGAAGATCTAGATGCTAGAAGAAAAAGCCCATTGCAACAGTCTAGAATGTGCTCCGCCTTGTGTTCGGCTTTACAGCTTGCAAGCAATGCCGTCAAATCCCGCCACAAGCTAAGAAAAACAACTCCAGAATCAGGAGCTAATGTCAGAAAATTTTCACCTCCCTCGAGGTAGATTATGCCGTAAAAAACGGCGGATGGAGAAGGGGAGGAGAATCTAGGAGCATATGTATTTGAAATCAGAAAGTATAAAGATTTGCAAATGCACTTGAGCCTGATAAGAGGTTTATCCAGGATTTGAGACAAGATCTCAACTTTTAAATCATCCGGTAAATTTGACCAATTGAAAACACACGAACTTGAACTGCCATCTTCTACTTTTCCTTCTACATTAGGATTACTATTGCAGCAAGATAAGGACATTACTCAGAATAAAATATAAAAGCTTTTCGAATTGGGAAGGAGGCTTCGGCCGGTTTCATTGATATAAATATATAGGGTTCAAACACATTCGTGAGTGTATTGGCCGAGCTTGACATCCCCAAATCCACCCACCCCACCCCACCCCACACCCTCACCCTCACCCTCACCCTCACCCAACCCCATTTTCTAAACTAAACGCTAATCCCTAAAATAGTATCGTTTCTTCTTCTCAAAAACCCAACAAAGAGATTTTTCCCAATTTGTGATTGCAGCCAGATGAACTCAACAAGGCGATTCCTCCCAATTTCTGAAAGAATGGAAGAGTGATAATGCTTCTTGCTGCAGTGAGCACATTTTGTTTTTATCGTTAACTCGAGTTTCAATCTCTACTATGCAAGAGAAATACAAAATGGAGGTCACTAAAAGTAGCCATAATTCCAAATTTTAATCTCCCACTACGTAGTTACAAAATTAAAAATCGGTAACTATTAAGTGCTACTCTTTGTAAGCGTGCTTTGGATCTTTGCATTCTCTATTTACATTCTATAGAAGAGAACATGCGCCAGTTTAGATTAAAATACAATAGGGCGTGTTTTGGCCGAAATAAAAAATGATTTTAATCTAAATCAAAGTTACAATCAATATTAATCATATCTCTCATAGGTTCCACATCTTTTCAATCACACATTTCAAAAATTTCTACACAATCCACTAAATATCTAATTTTAATCCTCATCAAACACCCTCTACACATTCTACACAGGTTTATGTCGGACATGGTCCGATTTTAAAGAGAATCGAATCGAACTCAAATTTTCGAGTATTTAATAAGTGGAACCGTCAGTTCAAATTTAATTATGGGTTCCATTCTGTTCCGTTCTCAAGTTCAGTACCATAATTAATTTTTTTAATATTTACAATAATACTACATTAATTCAACTAATAACATGTTTAATCTTAACTCTTACAAAATACTGATTCCCAATTTAAATTATACAAATAAGAAGTGTTTAATAAGATTCATTCAGCAATATATACAAATTACCTAAAAGTAAGAGTATGCCTAGGCGCACTTAACATTAAAATTCGGACCATTACATAACCAAAATCGGACTGTTGATGATTTTTTAATTCAACATAATCTGACAACATTTGTACACCAAGTCAAGCCATAAGACTCCAAATCCCCAATTTGCCCTCCTCATTACACGCCTTACCAACCCAATTCATTCTTCTCTCCCAATTTCTTTCATCCTATCCTTTCCATAGAAATTCTTGCTGCCAAACTGCGATTTCAGAACAACCGAGAGTGCCATCTCCTTCCCAGATCTGCACCCTTTGACACCTCTTCCGCCAATAGTGTTCTTCGATGACGTGTTGATAGATCCTTCCCTCAGAGAGTAAGACGAGTACTCCACGAATAGTCACAACGCATCCGGACGGAGTCGATAAAGTTTTCTGGCCAAGGAGAAACCGCTCACACACCATGGATCCAGGTAAGGGTCGATTTTTTGCAATTTGTTACATTTTCCCGTCAAAGCTAATTACCTAACCACCGTCCCAAAAAAATATTTTGCACTCTGATGTTTTATGGCTTGTCATCGCAGATGGGTTACAACGCTTCCTCGTCCACCCCCAACCCTTCTCCAAGCTAGACCCAAGCACCAGCCCCGAAAGAACGCCTTTTGGACCAAACACGATAACCAAATTTTTGTGGCTGCATGCGAGATAGTGATAGCCGACGGTCACCGTAACGAAAAGTACTTCACGAAACACGGCTGGGACCAAGTGATCCAGTTGTTCAACACCAACTCCGGGCATGTTTGGACCAAGTAATAGTTGAAGAATCATTGGGATTATCTCCGCCAAAAGCATAAAAGACTCATGGAGCTGTTGAACTGCAGTGTTGTTGAGTATAACTCTGCAAATGGAACAATTGTTGCCTCGAACGAGTGGTGGGAGCGAAAGATTAAGGTCTCAAGAATTTTTGCCTGTACCAACTTTTTGGAACGATTTTTAGTATTTCTTGTGACGACAATGAAGAGAATCTATAATAAGCTGGCGCTCGAGTTTTCGAAAAATTGAAATGTTAATAATAAATATTGGTATAGTTAGCTGAGCCTTTTGGTGTAATTATTATAGGTTCATACCCTTAATCCTAAATATATTGCTAATCAAGTAAATGCCAAAAGTTCCAGGCTTCATACGTTTGAAATTCGTAAATAATCTGCAGCTTACCTATTATTTTGGGATATTGCTATGTGTACATAGCAATATCTATAGGGGTGTTTATAATGTGAAAGGGGTGGGGCCGGCGCTGCTGTAGCTCGGGCCCCACCCATCTCACATTTTGTACACACCTATGTACCATGCTATGTACACATAGTATGGTCCATTATTTTGTTGGTTATATATTTATGTTATTAAAACTTCACAACATCATCGTTAGTCATATTGGCCTAACAGCTACCTGCATATAACACTATGGTTTATGTTGTAACCAATCTTCTTTAGTCATGTTGTGGTTTATGATGTGCACATATTCCTGAAATTGGGCACTTATTTTCATATTTTGCATGTCGAACAGGAGAACAAGGACTACAAAGAATACCGAGATAAAGACTGCAGAGAGGTTTATAGCTACGTCTTTTTCGGGGACGCCTTCGACAGTGATAAGTATGCGGTCACGCCGTCCCAGATGTGCCGGACAGGATTTGGTACGTTTGAGGATAGTGGTTACGAAGACCTGTGTGACGCTCATCCGGACGGCGAGGAGCGGAGCAGATCAAGTGATGAGAGGAACAAAACTGGTCAGGCAGCAACCAGCATGGACGTCTCCAGGCCGTGAAGTGGGGACAAGCGTCGACCAGCAGCAAGAACACAAGTGAGAAGAGACCAAAAATAAGAGCTAGAGATTTGTCATACTCGGTTGACTGTGCCGCCTCTGCAAGTCGAGAAGTAAGCCAAAAAGATCGATAATTTGGTTGGTCCTGCTGTGACTCTTGTAAAGACAATTTTGGAAGAGTTGTTGGTGACGGGCAGATTGCATAAAAAGCTGAGTTGTACTTCTGGACTTGCAAGTTCCTGAGCAGAAGGACTAATAGGGAGATTGTGGACGTGCAGGACGACACACATGAAAAAATGGACTGGGTTGAGTGGTGTTAGAAAGATGATATGAAGAGACGATCGGAATGAAAACTGTAAGGGATAAAAAAAAACAATAGGGTCGATGTATTTGAATAGTCCCAGAAGATGTGTACTTTTTTTTATTTTTTTAATATCTTGTTGCTGGATTTTCCATGAAAACAATTTTTTTCTGTGCTCGTAATATTTTTGTTCTACACCGATATCTGTAGCCACAGATTTGCTGTCCATATTTTCAAAAAGTTTTGTGATTGCATGCGTACTATTAAACTGTTGTTGGATGGATTTGTTTCTAAAGAATCTTTCTAGAGTCATAATGACCTTTAAGATTCCTTACAATCACTAGTGTTAATAATTTGGTTTTTGTCTTTATCCAGTTTTTCATGTCATTCATTTGTGCCATCATTTGTACTTTTGTCATGAAATACGGAGCACGGTCTATATAAGGAAACATTCAACCAATATCTTAAACAAGCGAAGTATTGGAAGAGTTGTGAGCAGGTTTCATCTTCTTGCTCCTTCATCTTAAAGTGCATAGGGCATTATTAGTAATATTGCGTAGTGGAATGACCCGTTCTCATTTTCATTGTGACCTCATGCCTTGCTCCGATGATGAAGTTGAAATTGATAAAGAGGAAGTTGTGCAACAACTGCAAGATGACATCGTCGAATGGTTTCGATACTGTCAACATGCAGAAATAGACGTAGCTACATACTATTGCGAACAGAGAAGTTGAGTAAGGAGGTTCCTATTTGCGAGAAATGGACACATGTTCATGTTGGATGCCATGAAATATAGTCCCAAGACGTGTTATGCAGAATTTCGAATGTTTCTCGCAACGCTGCGGGCATTTACACATATACTCTGCAAAGAATACGGACTGCGTAGTGGCCAGCACATAGATGTGTATGAACAAATTGGGATGTTTGTGTGCATATTTGAGAAAGGGTAAAGACAGGTGCAAACGCTATTCAACTATTCTTTGGAAACTGGTGGACATTATTTCAAGATGGCGCTTGAAGTCGTCATGGAATTTAGTGAACGTCTAATAAGACCTGATCCGAACTATAATCACGGTGCTGAGCATCGCGTACCAAATATCAACAAGCATCCGTTATTTCAAAATTGTATAGGTGCGATTGACGGAACGCACGTCAAAGCTGTCATGCTGCGGGACGAACGAGTTAATTTTATCGGACGCAAGGCATCCCAACACAAAATGTTCTTGCAGCATGTGATTTCAATTTATGTTTCACATTTGTGCATGCAGGGTGGACGGGGACCACGCATGATTCACGCATACTGGCACGGACTATACATAGTTCTAAAATTGATTTTCCGCGTCTTTGCCTTGGTAAATATTATCTTGTCGATTCCGAATTCGCACATAGACCTAAGAACATGGCTCCGTATAATGGATCAGATACATTGTATCATTTTCAGCAGTTTTACGATGGTCAGATGGGTCGAAGACGGTACTTTCGAAACATGCTTGAGAAATTTAACTTCAGGCACTCGTCATGCAATAATGTAATAGAATGTGCATTTGGTGTGTGGAAAAATCGATGGACAATTCTCGATCGTATGCCAAGTTACAATTTCAACGTGCAGATTGCCGTTGTCATAGCTACTATGGGTATACACAACTTCCTTCGACGGGCCGGAGGTGTCGAAGAGGCGTTCGCAACTGTGGAGACTGATCCGGACACGGCGGAGGTAGAACTTCCAGATGAACAGGAAGAAGCCGCAGCTGAAATGAATGCAACGCAATGAGTGGGATCATTTTCGAGATTACTTGGCTCAAAGTCAGTAAGCTAAATGTTTGTATAACAACGTCGTTATCCTACAATAATTG